CAGATCCTGGCTTTGCAGCAACTTATCAGCTGAGTGACCACTGGCAAGTTACTTACCCTTTCTGAGCTTCAACTTTCTTATCTTTAGAAAGGAAAGGATGATTATACTTGTCACATTGAGTTTTGTAAAGGGATAAGTAAGATAAAAGATGTAAAGCGTTCAGCTCATCACATAGTAAGTACCCAAGAGAGCTTAATTTTTTTATTGTTGTTGTTATCAATTAGGCACTCCCACATTTGATAAATGCACATATGACTATTATATATAGGATCACAGTTCTGTATGCTGTGTGCGAGATTTTTAAAAATAGTGAGTTAAATGTTTGTTATATGGCCAGCATCATGTTAGACACTCTACAGATGTGTCCTTGCTTAATGCTCTGCGGGCAAGTGAAAAATGTCCCCTCTATGGGTGATGAGAAAGGCCAAAATTAGTTTAAATAACTGCTCAGTATTGCAATTATTTAACACTGGGCAATAAGACTTGAGTAGTGCAACAAGACTTGAAATACTGTATTGACTTAAAAGGTGGAATCTTCGCTTCACTTTCCCACCTCCTCTTCTCCTGGCTTTATGGCCCCTCACAATAGCTTTGCAACTTTTGACAGCAAGTCACCTTTTATATTGTGACTCAGCCATAGTAACATATAAATATAACCAAAACATATATTCCACAAAAAGTACTTAAGGGTGTTCTGTGCAGCATGCACTGATAATTTCCATTTCATCATTACATTCTCCTTCTTTCTTTTTTTTCAGACAGAGTCTAGCTCTGTTGCCAGACTGAAGTGCAGTGGCTTGATTTCGGCTCACTGCAACTTCCACCTCCTGGGTTCAAGCTATTCTACTGCCTCAGCATCCTGAGTAGCTGCTGGGATTACAGGCACATGCCACTACCCCCGACTAATTTTTTGCATTTTAGTAGAGATGGGGTTTCACCATGGCCGAGCTGGTCTCTATCTCCCGACCTCATGATCCACCCTCCTCAGCCTCCGAAGTGCTGATATTACAAGTGTGAGCCACTACGCCCAGCTTCTCTCTCTCTCTCTCTCTCTCTCTCTCTCTCTATCTATCTATCTATCTATCTCTATCTCTCTCTCTCTCTCTCTCTCTCTCCCCCTTCCTTCCTTCCTCCCTCCCTCTCTCTCTTTCTCTCTTTCTTTTCTTTCTTTCTCTCTCCTTCCTTCTTTCCTTCCTTCCTTCCCTCTCTCCCTTCCTTCTTTCCTTCCTTCCTTCCTTCCTTCCTTCCTTCCTTCCTTTTGTCTTTCTTTCTTTATTTCTCTTTCTTTTCTTTCTCTCACTCTGTTGCCCAGGCTGGAGTGCAGTGGTGCCACCATGGCTCATTGTAGCCTGAAACTCCTGGACTTGAGTGATGCTCCTGCCTCAGCCTCCTGAGTGGCGGAGACTACAGGTGCTCACCATCATGCCTGGCTAATTTTTTATTTTTATTTTTGTAGAGGCAGAGTCTGTCTTTGTTTCCCAGGCTGTTCTCAAACTCCTGGCCTCAAGTGATCCTCCTGTCTCGGCCCTGCCAAAGTTCTGGGATTACAGGCACGAGCCACTATGCCTGACCTCTTTTTTCTTTTCTTTTTTTTTAAGTTGATCATGACCCACCAAATTGATTTAATGATCAATTAAAGTGAGATACAACTTGAGTTTGAGAAACACTGGTCTGGCTTAAATATTCAGGCAGTGCTGCCAGGACAGCTCGTTTTCATCACATTTACAGTTTGCAGCCCTGTGTGTGTTTCATTCCAGCCCCTCAGTCGGTCTGTTAGAGATTATTGAATATGTTATCCTCATTTTATAAATGAAGATATCAAGGCTTAGGAATATAAAATGGTCTTCCCAAGTCTCCCCAGCAGCCAGAAAATGTGGAGCTAGTGCTTTCATTCCAGCCTTCTAACTACGTGTATGGTGCTTTGGAGACCCAGTAATTCGTGCTGCCAAGGATCACCCATTTATTCACTTAATGTGTATTGATGGCTCGCTTTGGCCAGGCATGGTGCTGGGCTCTTAGTACACAGCAGTAAGCAAATTTGACATGGTTCCTGGATTTGTGGAATGTTCAGTCATATCTGGCATTAGTCCGTTTCTTTCAGTGTGAGACCCCCAACCTTTGTATTAGCCTATGTGACCTTACATGATGAGTCCCTTAGCACTGCTCCGGGCTCAACTTCTGCTCTGTCTCCCTCCTTCTTTCTTCTCCATATCGGGAGTGCTCGAGCTTCAGGGCCTTTGCTCAGCCTGTTTCCCCTGCCTGGTAAGCTCTCACTCCAGATACCTGCATAGCTGCTTCCGTCATCTCCTTCAAGTCTTTGCTGAAGCACCGTCTTCTAAATAAGATGTACCTTGAATACTTTACTGAAACTGGAACTCCTTTCTCCCATCTCATTTAGCTGGTACTCCCAATCCTCCATACATTGCTCTGTTTTGTCTCCCCGCATAGCACTTTTTAATCTTTTAAACTTTTATTTATTTATTTATTTATTTATTTATTTATTTATTTATAGGCAGTCTCACTCTGTTGCCCAGGCTGGAGTGCAGTGGTGTGATCTTGGCTCACTGCAACCTCCACCTCCCAGGTTCAAGTGATTCTCCTGCATCAGCCTCCTGAGTAGCTGGGATTACAGGCACACACCGTCATGTGCAGCTAATTTTTATGTCTGTTTTTTGTTTTTGTTTTTGTTTTTTTTTTTTCAGTAGAGATGGGGTTTCACTATGTTGGACAGGCTGGTCTCAAACTCCTGACCTCAGGTGATCTGCCCACCTCAGTCTCCCAAAGTGCTGAGATTACGGGCGTGAACCACTATGCCTGGCTATCTTTTAACATTCTGTAAAATTTATTATGTTTAGCATTTATTGTCTTTATCTGTGTCTACCTACTGGAATGAAAGGTAAAGGCAGGGGATTTTGTTGGTTTGTTCACTGCTCTATCCTCAGCACCCATCTATAACCTGGTACCTAGTAGGACTCTATAAATATTTTTTCACTTGAATGGGTAGGTGAGATAAATAATCATCAAGTTCAAAATATAGTTAACGAATTATGATGTGGTCAGAGGTTAAAAAAAAAAAGGAAAGGAACAAAAAAGCTCACAAGGGTTCGTGAAAGAGTACATATAACATCAGGCCTAATTTAGATTGGGTGGGTTAGAGGAAGTGACTTTTTTAGGTTGAGAACGTAAGAGGGACTTCAGTTCCCAAATTAGTTAGTGCAGACCCTGCCATTGCAAGCCGAAGGAACATAGTGTAAAGGAGAGATTTAACCCAAGCAGAAGTCTCTAAGAAGAGATAAAGTGATTTATTCATTTAGCAAATACCCTCTGATGGAAGGAGAGAAACATGTCACATATTGGTGTTGCCCAAGGACCAAAACACATCTGTCTTGCTTAATCTCAACATCACTGAGGTTCTACTATTATCGCCTCTTGACAGATGAGGAAACCCAGGTGTTGAAGAACTCCAAATGCATCCAGCTATTAAGAGACAGAGCTGGATTTCCAAATAAAGTGTCTTTGGCACCAAAGTTTATGCCCTTTCACTCTCTGAGCACCTACTGTGTGCTAGCTGTGCTCTCAGAAACGGAGTACATAGCCAGGAAGGACAGAGCCCCCAACTTGAAGGAGTTCACAATACTCTTTGGGAGACATGCTGAAAAACTTCCCTGATTAGGACACAGATTTTTTTCTGGCCCCAGTTCTTTTACTTCTGGACATGCCTTCCTAGGCTACTGTTTTTCAAACCTTGATCATTCATATTTTTGTTTTTGATAGCCACTGTGTTATCTATTGGTGAGTACCTCAGAATTCAGTGGCTTAAAACAATAAGCACTTATTATCTCACAGTTTCTGTGGGACAGGAATTTGGGAGTACGTTACCTGAGTGATCTGGCTCTGGGTCTCAAAGGAAGCTCCAGTCAGACTGTCAGCTGGAATTTCAGTCATCTGAAGGCATGTGTGGGGCAGAAGGATCTGTTTCCATGGTGATGCACTCACAGGACTGGACTTGGTGCTGGCTGTTGGCAGGAGGCCTGAGTTCTTTGCCAAATGTACCTTTCCATAGTACTGCTTGAGTATCCTCATGGCATGGCGCAGGCTTCCCCAAAAGCAAGTGATCTGAGAGAGAGCAAGATGGAAGCTGTAAGGTCTTTTATGTCCTGCTCCTGGAAGTCATACATTGTCATTTTTGCAATATGCAATGGGTTACACGGGTCAGTCGTATTCATTATGGAAAGGTACTACACAAGAACATATATACCAAGAGACTGAAAAATCATTGGGGGGCCATCATAAAGGCTGGCTGCTACAGGTACCTATCATCTGTAACATTATTTGCTTAATATTTTTCACCTTTTGTTAAAATCAACCTTATCCTAAACCGTAATTATCAGTTAGGTCACAACATTAATATGCTAATTATATTTTCCAGCAAAAATGAATATAAGCTTATTATTATTATTATTATTATTATTATTATAAAGATGGAGTCTCACTCTGTCTTTTTGCCCAGGCTGGAATACAGTGGCTTGATCTCGGCTCACTGCAACATCCCTCTCCCGGGTTCAAGTGAGTCTCCTGCCTCAGCTTCCCAAATAGCTGGGATGACAGGTGCCTGCCACTGAATGTGGCTAATTTTTATATTTTATGTATTTTTTAGTAGAGATAGAGTTCTGCCATGTTGGCCAGGCTGGTCTTGAACTCCTGATCTTAGGTCGTCTGCCCACCTCGGCCTCCCAAAGTGCTGGGATTATAGGTGTGAGCCACCATGCCCTGCCAAAGTTGTAATTATTAATGAAAAAAAAATCTGTATATCACCTATGCTGGCTTGCATAGTTCCAATGACACAAATGTTACCCTTGGGGAAACAGCAAGCCCAGCAAACAGGGATCTGTCAGAGAGTCCTGGTAGTTTTCATCATAAATTCCAGCTCTTCCCCACTGTCGATTTGGAGCCCTAGAAGCTACAGGATGCTAATGTTGCCTTTTGCTGTCCTCTTCCAGGACCGCCTGTACTTTGTGATGGAGTACGTGAATGGGGGTGACCTCATGTATCACATCCAGCAAGTCGGCCGGTTCAAGGAGCCCCATGCTGTGTAAGTGAGAACTAGTGTTTTGCTTTCTCTTTGGGGTAAATGGGTAGGTTAGTGGTTCCTTTGGGTTGTTTTTTGTTTGTTTGTTTTTGCCAGAGAGGGATTTTGAAACACCTCAGGCATCTTTGTTACAAATATTTGGCCAGGAAAGAAAGGTGTTCTGCTTAATATGAGATGATTCTTTTTTTCCTGACACCAGCTAAAAACCTAAAGCTCAGCCAGGCACCATGGCTCATACCTGTAATCTTAGCATTTTGGGAGGCTGAGGTTAGAGGATCACTTGAGCTCAGGAGTTAGAGACCAGCCTGGGCACCATGATGGGATCTCATCTCTATAAAAACCAAAAATCTTAGCTGGGCATGGTGGCGCACACCTGTAGTCTGCAAACAAGCAAACAAACAAAACAAACTCGAAGGTCTAAAACCATTATTTTTTGTTATTTCTAATTCATGTCCCTAATTGCTTAGAAGGGTCCTATACCTTCCTTGGGGATTGTCATTGTAAGTTTTATGTGTTTGTTTGCTAATATTTATTGAGAACTTACTATGAGCCAGGCCCTAAGTGCTTAACAAACATCATCTCATTTAGCCCTGAGAATAACTCTGGGAGGGAGGTGTTACCATCTCTGCTTCACAAACAAGGAAATGGAGATGGAGTGTTTCGAAAGCTTGCTCAAAATCACAGAGCTAGTAAGAAGCGGTTCCTGAATTCTGACCCCAGCTTTTCTTTGCCCATGCATGTTCTTTATCTTATACCACTTATTCCACTCTCCCTCTTAGATGCCTTCCCTCCAAGGCGGTGGAGGATCAAGGTGCATAGTGGCAATGGTCTGTGGTTCCTGAAATGGGGAGACCGAATATGGGTTGTTGGAAATGTGTTTCCTCTGCTCAGTCAATTCTATCCCCTTCAGTTCAAACGGCAGCTACAGTCTCTTCAGAACACAGGTCTCATCATGTCACTTCCCTATTTGGGAGCATGGCCAGTTATAGGAATTAGCAACGATAACCTCTCCTGGGGAGTTTGCAAAGATCTTATTGCCTCTCCAGAGAGCCCCCAGAGCTCATCTGGAAGCATTACATAGCATTTTATATGGCATTACATAGCATTTATATAGCATTATATAGCATTTTATGAGCTATATAGCTGACCATCCATGGGGACTTTAATGCCCTGCTCAGTTCAGCTTGCCTCCTCTCCTCCCACCTGGCCAGGTTGTGAGCACTATGTTCTGATGGGATTTGCATTATTTTCGTGCTTCCAAATCAAGCCATTCATATCTCCTGGCATAACTCTAGTAGTATTAGCTTTTCTTTTACTTCTAGCATCTAATTGAGGCTGAGCATGGTGGTTCATGCCTGTAATCCCAGCACTTTGGGAGGGCAAGGTGGGTGGATCACCTGAGGTCAGGAGTTTGAGACAAGCCTGACCAACATGGAGAAACCCTGCCTCTACTAAAAATACAAAATTAGCTGGGCATGGTGGTGCATGCCTGTATTCGCAGCTACTTGGGAGGCTGAGGCAGGAGAATCACTTGAGCCTGGGAGGCAGAGGGAGGTTGCGTTGAGCCAAGATGGCGCCATTGCACTCCAGCCTGGGCAACAAGAGGGAAGCTCCATCTAAAAAACAAACAACAACAAAAAAAAAACCCACAGTTCCCTAAAGTCCTGCCCAACCTTTGTGGCATAACTGGGCTCCCTAGGTCTCTTGAAACCTCTTTCTTTCTGGGTTGACCTTCAACATGAGGTTACACTTTAGACAGATGTCATTTCTGATTCCTGCTGTGCCGTTCCTTCGCTATATAACTTGCCCAAGTTCATCTCTTTAACCCTCAGTTTCCTCATTTGAGGAATGGGGAGATAATAGTAGGACCTACCTTACAGAATTATTATTAGGATTAAATCAGGTAATGCCTAAAATGGTGCTAGGCAGATGGTTAACCTTCAGTAGATGTTAGCTGCTATTGTTAAGATAATTTAACTTGTTATATAGTCTGAACATATAATTCAATCCTTTTGTGGGGGATGGGGGACAGGGTCTCACTCTGTTGCTCATACTGGAGTACAGTGGCCTTGATTATAGCTCGCTACAGCCTTGATATCCTGGGCTCAAGAAATCCTCTTGCCTCAGCCTTCCGAGTAGCCGGGATCACAGGTGCATGCCACCACACCTTTAATTTTTTTTCTTTTATTTTTAGTAGAGACAAGGTCTCACTATGTCGCCCAGCTAATGAAACTGTAGTTCTCCACCCGGTTCATCATGTTCCATGGCTCCCTCTCCACTATGCAATTGCTGAACTTCTGCCTGTGCCCAATTTGTCTGTAAGGCATCCCCATCACCTTCTGAAGCGCCCTGTTCATCCATCCATACTCGCAGCATCTTATAAGCGATGTAGCTGACCATCCACGGGGACTTTAATGCCCTGCACCTAGTTCAATGTTGTATTGAATTCTGAGCACTGCCAAGCATATGATGTCCTTGAGTTTCTCCATTGCTTTTTTTTTTTTTTTTAATTTCAGATTTTACGCTGCAGAAATTGCTATCGGTCTGTTCTTCTTACAGAGTAAGGGCATCATTTACCGGTAAGTGAACACTGCTGTACTTTCCATCTCTTCATCTCCCTCAGCTCCTCCCTTCCCTGCCTCTTTCTTCAGCTGCTTTTAAAATTAGAATCCATGGTGGGGGAGGAATCCTCCATAACTAACTTGGGCATGTGTTCTGCCAGGCAGCATCGCCCACTGCCCTGGCAAAGTTTGGGCAGCTCTATGTGATGGTAGAAAATCTCGATGGACTGTGTCACCAGTGATGGTTCAGAGACTGTTTGCTCTAAGAGGAGACTCATGGAGAGGACCCCAGTACTTCTTTCTCTTGCCTGTGGACCCTACATTTAGGGAGAAGGCAAAGAAATTTGACTGGCAGAATGTGATGGATTATATTATTATGAAACTTTTTTTTTTTTTTTTTTTTTGCTATGTAACTACAACTTGGAAATGGATCTGTGAGTAGCTGCCCTGAAAGACAGGATTAGGTTCAGGACTTGGCATTTGCTGGTTTTTGGAGGAGCAAACGGATGATCATAGTTGCATGAGTCATACCATTTTATATTTCATGCAAGGCAGATGATTGCACCCGAGGCTGCTATTTGTCAGCGAGTCCAGGGTGTACAATTCTCCTTGTACTACGTCGATGCAAATGGCTTAGCCAGTGCAGGCTTGGGCTAGTGTGTTATGCAAGGGAGGCTGCAAGGCACAAGGCTTCCAAATGGCACTTGGCACCAGTGGGGGTCTCTTTCAAAGATCGTGAAGAACCACAAAAGTCTGTCTCATTCATGTGTTTGACACATATTTATCAAATCCTACTATATTCTAGGCACTCTTCTGGGTGGTGGGCATACAGAAGTGAATAAAACAGATGAAACCCCTGTCTCTGTGGACTTTATCTCCTCCTGGTGGGAGACAGATAAGTAAATCATAAAAATATAGTCTATCAAGTAGTGATAATGGCGATAAGTCAAGAAGGGGAGGGGGCTGGTGTGCACTGGGTATTGGAAGGTTCCCTCTCATTCTGTAGAGAGCATGGTGACAACAGCCTGGAGAGTTAGGGGGACTTCAGTGTCCTGGGCATTTTGGTGTAACTGCAGGATATGGGATTAAAAGGCATGAGGGGGCTGGGTACAGTAGCTCACACCTGTAATCCCAGTGTTTTGGGAGGTTGAGGCAGGAGGAAGGCTTAAAGCTAGGAGCCCCAGACCAGCCTAGGCAATAAAATTATCCAGTTGTGGTAGTGCATGCCTACAGACCTAGCTACTCCGGAGGCTGAGGTGGGAAGATCAGCTGAGCCCAGGAGTTCAAGGATGCAGTGAGCTATGATCATACTGCTGTAATCCAGCCTATGTGATGGTCGGAGGGGGGATGGGAAGTGGGGGCCTTGTCACAGGGAGAAGGATGATCTTATTCTGAGTGCACAAAGTCCCTGCCATTCCTATTTTCTCCTAATGATGGAGGGAGGAAGGTCAAGAAGAGGAGTGGTTTTACTTGGCATGTGGGTGATCCTAGTGAAAGTGCAAAAATAGAGAGAAGAAGAATTTAGAAGCTGAGGCAGGAGGATCGCTTGAGCCCAGGAGTTCAAAACTGCAGTGAGCTATGATTGCGCCACTGCACTCCAGCCTGGGCAACAGAGCAAGACCCTGTCTGTAAAAAAAAAAAAGAATTTAAATTTTAAACAGTATGATCATTCTGCCCATGCCCATGTTTGCCCTCAATGAACATATATCACTTGTGTACATAAAATGGCACATGGAAAGCCTCTAATTCCCTTAGCTTCCCTTTTGACTCTCATAGTGACAGCATCTTTTTGTGCTGAACATAATTCTGGTGTTGAAAAGTACACATTATCTTCCATATGACATGATCCTCAAATTCAAGCCGATGATTTCAGCTGATGCTTAACCAAAGAAACAGGCATCATGGGTGATTTTTCACTCTACATGATTTTCAACTTGGGTGCTGACATTAGGACCTAACTCCTATTGGAATGTGCCTCTACTAAAATAGAACTAACTGGGTTCTTGAGAATATTAAATATGGAACTACAAGTTTATTGGAAGAAAATCCAGTCCTGTAGGAAACAGGAGAGGAAGTAATTAGAGTTCCAATCAAATGAGTTGCAAATCAAAGCTAGTTTCTAATCAGTCAGGAAGCTGCATTGGGGTCTGAGATCCATGGATCCAGGTCACTAGCCAGGCAGGCGATAAAATTCTAAGATTAGCATTTCAGGTGCTAAGATGATACCTATTTCAAAGCTCTTTTCCCTAAACTAACTATGCACTCTCCATTTCATCCTCCACTATTAATATGGTCTTTAAAGGAATATTTATCAATCTTTTAAGCCAGTCTGTATCTGAACTCTTCTTTTGTGTACATGTAAGAACAGTCAATCTCCTATTCTAAAGATAGAAAATGACAGATACTCACTTCACAGCCCCCCTGTAGCCAGGGCAGGCACACAACCCGAGCTCTGACACTTGCTCACACTTACTCAAGAACTTGAATCAGAAACTAGTAGCCAAGGAACCAGAAAGCGTAGAATCAAGAATGGCCATAGTAATTATCAGTAGCTACTTTCCAGAGGCAAGAGGAGAAGAGGGTCTTAGCAGCAATAGGCAGAGTCCAGCATTAGGGCTTTATGGATCAAGGGGTTCTGCCTGTGTCCCATGGCAGCTTGGGTGGTAGTATCACTGGACCAGCTCTGAGCTGCAGTTAGGCATCATTTCTGGCTGTATAGAATGTTAATCTAGTTCTTCAGTCTCCTCAAAGATTCCATGAGCTCCCCAATACTCTTGGATGAATTCTTTTTCAGGTAAAAATCATCGCAATTGGTTTTTATTGCTTACCCTCCGGAACACTGATGGAAACAGAGTTCTTGAAATTGATAGTCAAATGGAAATGGTAAAAAATAAATTACTTGAAAAAAGATGTATGGCTTTATCATTTCATAGAGATTGCTTTCATAGTGGTAAAGTCTTTTAAGATGTTACGAATTACTGCCTCCTTCATTTAAATCTCTACTTAATTTAACAGTTCTTAAGTAAAGAGGATGAAGGATTATGTTAGACTTGCCATCTTTAAGGAACTGGAGATGTTAGATTGGGGCTGAAGAGGAAAAAAGATTCTTCCTATCAAACGTAGTGTCTGGTTTACCAACCACCATCTCTGGAATGTGTGTTGGTTTTGCCCTTGACAGTTTTCTGAAAATGAAAATAATTGCTCCATCCATCTTTTGAAGCAAAAATGAGGATTTATTACATAGGACAAAAGATTAGGGTGTGATATCAAAATACTGCTATGTGACAGTAAAGATGACAGAGGTGCCCTCCAGCCTCAGGACTGCCCGACTCTTGGCACCTGAAGCTTCTTTTCTATAATAGATGAAGATTTTATCACTTCCCTAGTCTACCCAGCTGCCTGCTTCTGAGCATGGGGTCAAGCTGAATGGATGTCATATGTCACTATTAGAGAAATCACACGTAGACCTACTTAGTAAGTTTAGATGAAAGAAATTGCAGCAAAGCCTGGGTTTTCTGAGTTCCAAACTTTCACTCAAATCACAGTGGCTTGTAGATGACCATGAAGGCTGGATATGAGCAGGACCATGGACAGTGCCAAAGGTAGGGCATGTTGGGATTGGCAAGCATCAGTGGGCGGGTACAAGTGGACCTCCCCCTCCCCTTGAGTAAGGAGACCTCACAGACACAGATAGGAGATGCCAGGATATAGTTTTCGGATTGTATTCTTTTAGTTGGAAATGATGACAGCAACTCAATTCAAAGTAACTTAGGTTAAAAGAGGCCATTTATTGGCTGGCATAACTTAAAAGTCCAGGCACAGATCTGACTTTAGGCCTGGAGAAATGCAGAGGCTCAAGTGATGTCATGCAAGCACACCTTATCACCCTCCCTCTAGGCTCTACTTTCTCTGTACTAGATTTGTTCTCTAAATCTGGTGACCCCTGGAGTTTCTGGACTTGCTTAATACCACCTGAGCAACCCCAATGTAAAATGCACTTATCCCTTTCCTGATTGTGCCAGCCAGAGTGCCAGTACTAATACTTAATAGCATTGATTGGCTCAGATTGGATCACATGCCCATTCCTGAATCAATCGCCGTGACCAACAGGATGGAGTATTTCCACTGGCCAAGCCAGGCTCACATGACCACTCCTGGAGCCAGCACCATTCATGTTACATGGAAGAACTGGGGGAGGGTGGTTCTTCAAAGGAATATTAGAATGCTGTCATCACAAAATAGAATAGGCAAAACCACAGATGCCCACTTAGCCCAATCAAGATGACCAAAGGGAAAGATCAGAATTAAGCAATAGATCCCCCTACCTCTCAGGAAATCAGACTTCCCCATTTTCTATTAGGACTGGGACCATCTGACCCATAGCTCAGCCTTGCTCACTGGTCCTGAAATACAAAGCATTGACACTGGAGCAGGTGTTTGGGGAGGAGGAAAGGGTGTTGACATTGGAGAAATCTTGTGTGCTAAAGGCCTACAAGTGTCCCCAAAATATCAAGCTCTTCTCATCAACACAGATGAAAATAAAATAGAATACAGCACATATCCTTTAGGTTAGAACTCAAATGTCACTGCCTTAGAAAGGTTCTTTCTGACTGACACCCTGTTTAAAGTGACTTCCCCCAATCCCTATCTTATGTCCTCTTTATTTTCTTCATACCACTCATCAGAATCTGTAATAATCATACTTATAGACTAATTGTTATCTTTTTCCCTGCACTTAAATTTAATCTGAGGAACAGGAGAATTGTTTATGTTGTTTACAGCTACATACTATAGCCGGCTCCAGGCACAGTGCTTGTCACATAGTAATTGTGCAAGAAATATTTTTTGATTCAAAGAATCAATGGAAACTCCTGAGCCATGTCCCAGGAGGTCATGGAACACTTAGCATTAAATATTTCTGTCAATCAGCTTTTTTCTTTGTAATCTTTAGAGATCTTTAAAAAGAAATAATGATTTTATGAAAAATATATTTTCTTACAAAATATGAGGGGTCTTTAAGTTGCAAAGGACAATTCTTGGAATTTCCTGGATCCAAGAAACCTCATGGATGCTCTGCCCTTTGCTTAACTTTCTGTGGGTCTCCCTCTTTTCAGAAGTGCTGTCACTTTGTGTCCCTGTGAGACACTTGGCACAGTTGGCTCTGTAGAAAAAGAAGAGCACGGAGGTTTGTGGACCTCTTTTTATCTCCCTGCCAGATTGTAAGCTGTTGGAGGTCAAAGGATGGTTTCTACTGACCTTTGTGCCCACGCAACACCTAACACAGTGTTTTATGCATAATGAGTGGGTGTTGGTTGGCTTGAAATGCACAGCGTTTAATTAAATCTCTAAATTATTGTGTCTGCCTTAGTGACCTAAAACTTGACAACGTGATGCTGGATTCTGAGGGGCACATCAAGATTGCTGATTTTGGCATGTGTAAGGAAAACATCTGGGATGGGGTGACAACCAAGACATTCTGCGGCACTCCAGACTACATCGCCCCCGAGGTGAGAGCTGCTGGGCACATGCTCACATTGCGGTGATGTACCCTCTGCTCCCCAGATGGCCGTGTGAGAGCTGGGAAGGGTCGAGGGTGGTACCTTGCAAGGGAACCTCGGACAGATTCTTATTCTATACTCTAAATCCTCCCTTTGAGATCACACATGCAAATTAATTTAGCACACATCCAGAAGCCCAAGCTCAAAATACATCAAGGTTTGGGAGAAAATTTAAATAAAACTCAAAAGAACCATCCAACACACATCAGTAAAATTCTTCATCAAACTGTTGTGGCTCGGGGCCATGTAATACCGCCTAATTATGACATTGAAATGTTTATTGAGAGAGAAAGAGCAGATCCCCTAGGCTGGCATATGACGTGGGATCTGTGTCCTGTGTATGTCCCTCAGTAGGAAAATGGACAATAGCCCATGATTTATTTATAGCATGAAATACTACCAGGCACCAATTCAGAAAAGTGAGTTAGATGTATATGTAGATATGAAAAGATCTTCGAGACACATTGTTAAGAGAAAAAAATCAAGGTATAGAATGACAAATAGAAGGCTAGGCATGGCCGCTCACACCTGTAATCCTAGTACCTTGGGAGAGGCAGCTGGATCACTTGAGCCCAGGAGTTCCAGACCAGCCTGGGCAACGTGGTGAGACCTTGTCTCTACAAAAATTAGCTGGGTATGGTGGCATGTGCCTGTAGTCCCAGCTACTTGGGAGGCTGAGGTAAGAGATTCACCTGAGCCTCAGGAGGTCCAGGCTGCAGTGAGCTGTAATTACACCACTGCACTCTAACCTGGGTGACACAGTGAGATCTGTCTCAAATTTTAAAAACGACAAATACAATGTGATACTAATTATGGATAAAACAGAAATACACAGAACACTGTTCTGTTTTCAATGAGTATGGAGATATATATATATATATATATATACACACATATACATATGTATGGATATATATATATATATATATATATATGCACATAAAAGCATACAAAAATGTGGAATATTTCGGACTGATTTTATAACACTTGTTTACCTCTGAGGATAAGGGAATTGTAAAGAGAAATTTAGCTACTTCTGTATACTGCTGACATTTTTTACAATGTAAATGTATTTGTGTATTACTTGGGTAATAATGTAATTCTTTAAAAATAATAAGGCTTCATTCAGATCCAGTGAAGTTTTCCCTATGTGATATACTTTGGTCTATTATCATCTTGTTAATTAATCAGGATATCAGACACAATCTATAATACAACTTCCTGGTAGGCCATGGGTTCCGTAATCTCTGGTTCTCAACTCTAACTGCAGTTTAGAGTCATGAGGGAGCTTTTACAAGGCAGGATGCAGCTGAGGCATGGTGGCTCACCTCCGTAATCTCAGTGCTTTGGGAGGCTGAGGCAAGAAGATTGTTTCAGGGTAGGAGTTCGAGACTGGACTGGACAACATAGTGAGACCCTAATCTCTACCAAAAAAATTCTTTAAGGTGCAGTAGCTCACATCTACTGTCTCAACTACTCAGGAGGATAAGGTGGGAGGATCCCTTGATCCCAGCACTCCATCATGCCACTGCACTCCAACCTGGGTAACAGAGCAAGACCCTGTCTCAAAAACAAACAAACAAACAAACAAAAACAACAACAACAAAAAAGTGGGATGCCCAAGCATCATCCCATTAGAATCTATGCAGGGTGAGGCCCAGGATCTGTGGTTCCCAGAAGTTCCTCATTGGTCATGATTCAGGCAAGAAACCCTGAACTGTATTGCTGGTGACGTTGCCTCTCCCTCCAGCCCCACAGATAAGAGGGATAAGCTGCAGGACAGGCTTTGTCATGAACTAACCACATCACCTCTGGCAACTGCTCTGACATCCCAGGCTCTAGTTTCCTTTGTAAAAGGATTAACTTGTTGCATTGTCAGGAGGATCAAATAAGACTTGAAGTACTTTAAAACTGTGAAAACACTTTCAATGAGTAGTGTTCTGGAACGGTTTCCCTTCCTTGTCTTGTGGGTTACTTCTCAGTGTGCATTTCATTCATTTATAAGTGGCAAGTAAAATTGTATACATTTATCATGTGCAACATGTTGTTCTGAAATACATATACATTGTGGAATGGCTAAGTTGAGTCAATTAACACATTTATTATCTCACACACTTATTTTTTTCTGTGGTAAGAACACTTAAAAATCCCTCTTAGCAATTTTCAAGACTATGATAGATTGTTATTAAGTATAGTTACTGTGTTGTGCGATAGATCTCTTGAATTTATTCCTCCTACTTAACTGAAATTTTGTATCCTTTAATCAACATCTCTGCATTTCTGATTTGGGAATAGAAATCAAAGTGGAAGATAGAGATCAAGAAATGACATTCACTTTACAGCCAAGTTTGCTCAAATAACCCTTTTTGAGTTAAACAAGCAGTAACTAAATTATAAAACATTCTAGGATTAGCTAACTTTTTTTTTTTTTTTTTTTTGTAGACGCAGTTTCGCTCTTGTTACCCAGGCTGGAGTGCAATGGCGCGATCTCGGCTCACCACAACCTCCGCCTCCTGGGTTCAAGCAATTCTCCTGCCTCAGCCTCCTGAGTAGCTGGGATTACAGGCACACACCACTATGCCCAGCTAATTTTTTGTATTTTTAGTAGAGACGGGGTTTCACCTTGTTGACCAGGATGGTCTCGATCTCTCGACCTCGTGATCCACCCGCCTCGGCCTCCCAAAGTGCTGGGATTACAGGCTTGAGCCACCGCGCCCGTCCCGATTAGCTAACATTTTGAGGGCATAATATGTGAAAGCCACCTAATATCTCATTCATCCTCATATAACCCCATGATACGGCTATTATAGAAGTTAAGTAACTTCTTCTGTGGTCACACAACCAGTAGACACAGTCAGGATTCAAAGTCAGACTGCCTGACCCTCAGACCTCAGCCTCTAGCTTACCTCTTAACCTCTGATGTGGTTAGTTTTACATCCCTACATACTGAAAGGTGGAGAGTCAGCTGACTCTTCTAGACTTTCCCGTGCTCTGGCAGTTTGGTAATATGAATTAAAAACTTCACAACCGTATATACCATATGATCCACCAATTGTACATCTAAGAATTTATCCTGAGGAAATACTTGGACAGATGTCCAAATGTCTAATTACAAGAATGTATGTTACAGCATTGGAAGAAACCTAATCAACTGGAAATTTATAAGATATATTTTGATACATCCATTCAATGGAATGCTATGCAGAGATAAAAACTGATTATGTTCATATACAAATATTAAATTGGCAAGGAAAATTTAAGTGAATAAGAGGCTTTATTAAAATTCTGTTGCCCATAATCCCAGTGCTTTGGGAGGCGAAAGCAGGAGGATCGCTTGAGTTTGAGATCAGCCTGGGCAACATAGAGAGACCCCATCCCTACAAAAATTTAAATAATTAGCATGGTAGTGAGCGCCTGTAGTCCCAACTACACAGGAGCCATGAGGATTGCTTGAGTCCAGGAAGCCAAGGCTTGAGCGATGAGCTATGATATCGCCACTGCACTCCAGCCTAGATGACAAAAAGAGACATTATCTCAAAAAAAAAAAAAAAAAAAAGAAAGAAAGAAAGAAAGAAAGAAAAAAAAAAGAAAAGGAAAAAAAATGGTCCACATACTAAAGTGTTTATGTAAAGCACACACATATGCACAGAGTTCAATATGTATTCAGAGAAAAGAGTATGGAATGCAGTAGACCAAATATTAGTCATAATTTTTCTCTTAATAAAGGACTATGGGTGATTTTCACTTTATTATCTTAGCTTGTCTATCTTTTATAAACAAAGTAAAATAGTAAGAAATATTATTGCCTTTTAAACTTTTTGATTTTTAATTATGTTTTAAAAGCATGTAACATAAAATGTACTATTTTAACCATTTCTAAGTGTACAGTTTAGTAGTGTTAATTATACTTAACATCATTATATAAATGTTATAACTTTTACAATGAAGAGTAAAGACAGTTTTTCCTCTTAAAAGTTTCACGCTCACTGTTTTGAAAATAATAATAATATATTGTACTTAGTGCTTTGAAAAGGCAATGTGACAGCCACAGGTGTTTGCCCAGATGCAGGTGACCCTGTGAAGCATGTCTGTCATTCCCCGAGTAGCTATGGTAAAGAAATAGCTCAGGTGGGCACTGGCCTCCTTGTAAAAGAGGAGTGGAATCTGTCTCCAGCAGAAACATCAACTGCAAACCTCCCTGATATAGGATACCTTCTGTTTTCTAGATAATTGCTTATCAGCCCTATGGGAAGTCCGTGGATTGGTGGGCATTTGGAGTCCTGCTGTATGAAATGTTGGCTGGGCAGGTAATTGAATTTTAAGTGATCTATAAGAAAAGTCTTCCCTACCCACCTCCACATGGTTTCTTTGGGAGAATGCATCCATTTGGTAACGTCAGAACCTCCATGACTTTCCCAGCCTTGGGGTCATGCAAGTCTGTGGTTATTTGGAAGTCTGGGCATGTGGCTTCACTGTGGGCCCCAAGGAGGAGGGTCTGCCAGTTGAGGGGAGCTGGGGGAGGGTTCAAGCAGGGATTCTTCTCCTCCCATCCTCCCCTGTCACACAGGCACCCTTTGAAGGGGAAGATGAAGATGAGCTCTTCCAGTCCATCATGGAACACAATGTAGCCTATCCCAAGTCTATGTCCAAGGAAGCTGTGGCCATCTGCAAAGGGGTAAGTACATCTCTTAAAGCTGTGACCAGGACCACCACACACAGACATGTGGGCTGTGCCTTGCCAAAGAACATCCCACCAGGGGAGCAGACCCTGAACTCCACCTTTTACTCCATTTGCCAATGTGAGAGCCCTGATGTGGAGCTGCTACCTCCTGGAGGAGAGAGCCCTTTTCTCCTAATTTGCACAGGAGTACCATAGAGAGCTGCCTGCAGCTGCGTCTTGCTGCTGGCTGGGCTGCAGTCTTTGAACCAGCACAGGGGAATGCTTATTGAATGAACGAGTTAGAAAGCACAGAGATTTCGTCAAAGAGCTGGAAGTCATGAGAAAGGGCGCAAGAGGTCTTTGGTACAACTCAGGCTATCTTGCCCTGCACTGCTATATATGTTTGGTTACTATTAAGAGCATGTAACTTTTGTTCTAAAAAATACCAGGCAGTATTGAGATTAAGGGATTCTCTAGATAAGCAGACTGAAATTCAGTGTACTCAAAATCCCACTGTCCCCTCACCTCAACACACACACAAATGGCTAAAAGGGCATGCACACTTGTACATCTACAGTTTAGGCACAGGGCACCTGTGAAGAAAGCAGGGCGTGTGTTTATGAGGAAGGATTGTTTTGCGTCTTGTGTTAGACCAGGGTATACTCACAGTGACTTGTGTGAGATCCTAAAGATGAGTGACCCTCACCTTTGGAGTCATCAGGATAACCCGAAGTGCTTTTCCAGAATGCACATGCTTCAGCCTCACCCCAGAGATTAAGTCTGGGTATGAATATTTTGGAAAGGTCTCCATTTGGCTTGCAGACCACTGGCTTTAAACTACAGTCGAAATGAAGTGATTTTTCAACTCTGATGGAAGCCTGAAAGCAATAGAATTAGACACCCAGAAAATATGTTCCAAGCATAATATACTCATACAGGATTTGCTCTCCCACAACCCAGTGGTACAGGTTTAGAACATGGCCATGCCTTAACCACTGGGCTCCCACCTGTGTGTCTAAATAAGCCAGGGCTGCCAGTCCTAGATCTGTGGGATGCTTGCAGACTTCTCACACCCTGTCTTGCTCTTGCTGACCCCAGCCAGATGCTGGATGCGCTGGCTTGGGTGAAGGAAAGACAGAAAACTCAGACAGGCCAATCTGAGGCCTGGCTCAGTTTGGAATAACTGGGCCAGCCTCTCAGCATAAAAGCACCTTGTCACAATAACTAAATTCCCACTCTCAATGAATCACCTAAGGTTTGCATCTCAGCTACATAGGCTAAGATGCACATATCCCTGGGGAAGCCATCTGTGAATTAGTCTCAAGCCCGAACATCTTAAGTGAATTGCTTGAAAATATTTTCTTTGAGGGTGTAAGGCAGGGAGAGAGAACATGAAGAATAGACAGGGAAGTTCCAGAGGTGCATTAGGAACCTAAGCAAAGCCCATAAAGAAAAAGGGGGCACACACGAAGGCCTGTACAGGCCCCCGTAGGCATGTCGTTGAAGGGTGGGAGGAATAGAGAGATGGTGGCACCTGGTGCATTCTGTTTGTTTAATAATTGCCAGCTTGTAAGGATCAGGAGATTTCTCATAAAGATTTGGCTTTCAGATTTCTCTTGAAAAATCAGATCTTGCCACATTGGCCTGTCATTCTTACAAAGTACCAGTCAGCTGGATTGGAAACCACTGCCCTCTGTAGTCGGGGCTCGCCCTCTGTAATTCGCAGAAATTCTCATCCAGCCAATTCTATCCAAGTTCAAATTCTGGTTCAGGCCTTAATTGCCCTAGGACCATAGGGAAGTTGTTTGATCGTGTCTGCAGATTCAAGATAATAACAGTACTCCACACAGGGTTCTTTGATGATTAAACAGCTGAATATTGTAAATCACTTAAAGCAGAGGCTGGCACTCTCCTCCGAACCCCTTGGAGGTTATCACTACTATCACTAGTGCTGACACTATTGCGCTATCTGCCAGGTTCCTCTTGGCATTTGAGTTTGCATCCCCTGGAATTGCAACTTTTAAAGTAGGGGGTTTTGGAGATCAAGGGACTCTGCAAATCTCGACGTTTCCGATTCCTAGACACAAGTTCTTTTTATTATTATTATATATATTTTTTGAGACAATGTCTTGCTCTGTCACCCAGGCTAGGGTGCTGTGACATGATCATGGCCCACTGTAGCCTTGATCTCCCATGCTCAAGCGATCCTCCTGCCTCTGCCTCCCGAAGTGCTGCGATTACAGGCATCGTCCACTGCACCCAGCCTAGGTGCAAGATGTTAAGCCACTTTCTTTGCATCTCTGGGCTTCTGTTTATTCTAAAAAAATGGAATCATAGTACTCATTTAACAGAGTTTTTGAGAACATCAAATGAGATAACATAAGAGAAAACTCCTTGCATGACATGGGCACATAGTAGGTGTTCAGTACATGCACAGTGCCTTTCCCTTCACACGCCTGCCCTGCCTGGACAGCTGAGGGTTCTAAGTGGGTCATGGAGGAGAGAGGATTTTCCAGGTCAGCTGCCTTCAGCTTCAGCTCCAATTAGCAGTTTCCCTGGTAGAGCCGTTTTCTATTAATTCAGGACCCATAACCTTCAGGATTAACTGGGGTGACTCTCTTACTATTGAGTTTGGGGACCGTTATTAATTGAGTGGACTGAGTCCAACACGGGCTCTTCCTTCAAGGAGGGTACTCCAAAAACGAGTGACGCTCAAGCGAGCAGCCAAATGCTTCCTCCGGAACAGCAAGCCCCAGGGGATGCGTCTGGGAGGTGATCAGAGATTGGAACAGTGATTAAATCCAGCTGTCTACATGGCTTCAGGCACATTAGAGCACAGTGCAGGAACTGGGCAGAGACTCCGAATTAATGTCAGATGTTTCTGCAGTGCCTTTTCTTTGCTTGCTTGGCATCCTCCTGCTTAGACAGAAATGGAGTTGAGGTTTTGAAAACAGTTGCCTGTTTAATTGAAACAGTATCCTTTATATCCCCATCCCCTTAAAGGCATGATTTTCTACTATAAAAAAAAAGTTAGTAAAACCTTACTCAGATGGCCATTCCCACTTTGAACAAGCTTGAAGCAAATGGAAGCCCAAATAGGTCGCACCTTAGGGTGAAAACCAGCAGACTGAAAGGCTGAGACGGAGCACAAAGCTATGAGTCCTGGACCAGGCAGAGCTGTTCAAAGCCTTGCCCTACTCCTTAGCTGTATGACCTCAGATAGATGACGGTACTTCTCTGCACCCACATCCTTTACCTGGAAAATGGGGGATAATAGTTGCTGAGGCCTCAGAGTATTGTTGCGAAGGTTAGAGACTAATAGGTAATGGCTGGGAAGCCTTTAGCACACAGCCTGAACACCTATGATATTGTTACTGATAAATAATAATATCAGTAACAGCTTTTGTTATTGATTTGCAACAGTCAATAACCATAAATAATAATTGATTATAATAATATTTATCAATAACAGTTTTCATTATTGATTGTACAACAATCAATGTTATTGATATTATTATTAGTCTGAGTCAAAACCTTTCTTTCCTCCCATCCTAAACTTACACAAATGTCAAGGCTTGGCTCAATTTCCTTACCCTCCATAAACCTCTCCTGGCAAAGCCAGGACACAAAAATCCCTGAGAAAACCACGTGTGAAATGCCCTCCCATTTTTCTTAAAAGCCCAAGTTTTAGAGCGAGGCAGAGGTAGGATCTGCACCCAGCCCTTACTGACTCTGCCACTTCCTATCTCTGAGTCCTTGCTGTTCCTCAACTTCTCTGAGTGTTCATTGCTGTTTTATTCAAATGGGAAAATTAGTGTACTCACCTCACTGGGTTATCATGATGATCAGGGAAGATTGTGAATGTAAATAAAGAAGTAGCTAGTTTAGAACCTAAGTGCCCAGTTAATTTCCTCACCCTGGAAGATAAACTTTTTATGACAAGTCCATGCTTGTGTGTGTGACCGCAAATTATCTCGTAAGCAGGCAACAGGCTGAATGAATGTCCAGCAGTGTAGGAATGAATTTCTGGGTTCATCCCTTCCCCATCATCAAGTCCTAAGCAGAATCTAAGGATTCTCCCATCATGGGCTGCTCAATGTGATATCGACTCTGGGAAGCTTTTGGACTTGTATGTTCCTTTTTATTTTATTTTTTTTAATTAATCACCATCTCGTTCGTCTTTACTCTCTGTGCATTTGCTCAAGTCTTGAGATCAGAGATATTTTCATGCTGCTTTGGACTCATTTACAAGAGGAAGCCTGTCTGGTTTCAACTTGGAGCATCTATTCATCTTGTTATTTAGCACTCAGAGACCCAAAGATGGAGGGTTTTGATAATTAAGTAATTTAAACGGAACACCAAAGAAACCTCAGCGGCGTTGTGTGTAATATATGATACAAGGGAAATGAGCTGGGCTGGTTTTTGACTACTTAATGAGCTTTCAGAAAGTAATTACTTGAAACTTGGGCCCCTTTGACTAATACTTTTTCTTCTGCTTTGGCATTTTTGCAAGCACTTTACTGAGAAATGTAAATAGTATCCGAAGGAATGTAGCCTTTGCTTTCGTCAGTCTCCAGTGTTCTTGTTGTGGGAGGAGGGGAGTGTGAAGATACTGAAACTGTCCTAATTAAATGCACTGGTAATTGTATAAAACTTATTCTGGAACCAAAATGGGTCCTGCGACCTTGCTGACTTAAAGCTCAGGGCCACATTCAGGCTTCAGTTTGATTCACCAGAAGAGATGGATGGCAGCAGGCCCTGCTGTTGGGTCTTCTCCTACAAAGTCCCGGCTGGGATTTTTTGCTGGGATAAAAAGCAAAAAACAAAAATGAGTTGAGACCCTTTGTGTTTTCTTTCCTAATGCATTGAGTAATAATTTCTGAGTGTCTCCCATTTCCTCTTCTGAAACTCATCAAATTCAATGTTTTTCGTTCTCTCGAAGCTGATGACCAAACACCCGGGCAAACGTCTGGGTTGCGGACCTGAAGGCGAACGTGATATCAAAGAGCATGCATTTTTCCGGTATATCGATTGGGAGAAACTTGAACGCAAAGAGATCCAGCCCCCATATAAGCCAAAAGCTGTAAGTAGCCCGTTATCTCTAACTGTCGAGTATTCACACACAGCATATTCTTTCCTGTGCCCCATGTTTTTCAAATGCTCCCTGAAGGGTAGACGTTGATGTGTCTACTTGAACATGGGTATATGTGTTCACACATATGCACAAAGTCACCAGGTACGAAGATGGACATTTCCACTGGCCCAGCTTGGCCTCTATAAAGATGGAAACGACGATGCCTATTGAAGTTTTGTTTCATCGATTCAATTATTGTAACTGTCTTAGCTGACAACTTTTTGAGAATGGTTCTTGGGTGAGCGGAGTTCAGATCCATTTCTGGGCTGTGATAAAGGATCTAATTTTGCCCTCATTCTTTCTCTTGGTTCAACAGTGTCGTTTTCTCTTCATACTGACATTGAAAAGGTCACGTTGTTTATCTCAACAGCATTTAAATTTAATTCTGAAACATACACTGTGTCTGAGTTAGTAAATAAGACAGCAGTTCAGCAGCCAGCTCCCACCCAAGGCGAAGCAGAGTGAAGCAGAGACTGACGTCCTCTTGAAGCGAAGACCCCCTCCTGGAGGCTTTGGGTGTGGAGATGGCTTTGACATAAATTTTATAACATAAGAATAAAACTCTCACATTTCCCATGGTCCATGTAACCACGGGAAAGTTTTCTATCCCCAAAGTCTCAGCAGGGAGTACTTGTTGGCATCAGGAAAGAAGAGTTTGCACCTGAATTAATCAAACTGTGATTCTACTGGGAGGATATTTCCTTGTGAAATTAAATAGAGGGCAGACCTGGTGACTTGATGATGGTTGTAGAGCTACTGACTGAGGCTGAAGAGTGAATGTAAACACCGCCATTGAAACCTCATGTTGTGAGGGTCTGGGTTGTTGGGATGAAGGAGATCATAACGGTAGTTATTTTGATACTAGTATTGTTATCAATTTCTTGAGCACTTACGTGCTAGGCTCTGTATTAAGCATTTCTCGTGCAGCATCGAATGAAATCCACACAACAGCCTCTGAAGGAAGGTGCTGACATTCCGTGTTATGAAAGAGGAAACAGGATCTCAGAGAGGTTAAGTGCTCTGTTCAAGGTCACTCAGCCAGCGTGATGAAGGGAGGACCCAAGCCTCAGAAACTCTGACTCTCTTGGAGGCCCACCGGGAGGCCCAGAGGCAAAGGGCACGTAGTTCAGGAGCCTCCCAGGTGATGTTCACCTCTCCCTAGTGCTGCACCTTTCCCCATCCCAGACGGCTAAAATCACAGCTCTACACCAATCTCCGTGTGTCCCGTTTCTCCCTGGATGCCTCCTGGTGTAGGAAGCCATGGCCCCTAGAGGCAGCCAGTTCTACTTTGTGGCCCTTCTCATTATTGCCAACCTGTATACTGCAATCAGATCAGCCTTCCCAGAACTCCCGCTAGAGCCTCTCTCTCTCTCTCTGGATAAACCTTCAGACATTTTCAGATGCAGGTTCTAATTTCTTCTTTTTTTTTTTTGGAGTCTCACTCTGTCACCCAGGTTAGAATGTAATGTGTGATCTTGGCTCACCGCAACCTCCGCCTCCTGTGTTCAAGCAATTTTTCTCCCTCAGCCTTCTGAGTAGCTGGGATTACAGGTGGCACCACCATGCCTGGCTAATTTTTGTAGTTTTAGTAGAGACAGGGTTTCACTATGTTGGCCAGGCTGGTCCCAAATTCCTGACCTCAGGTGATCCCATCCACCACAGCCTCCCGAAGTGCTGGGATTACAGGCGTGAGCCACCGCACCCAGCCTGATTCCTTCTTGAATCTTGTGATTTCCAGTTAAATCCTGCTCCCCCCCACCCCGCCTCCACAAGCATGTACCATAGGACATCACTTTGAGGTGCCTGTTGTTTTCCATGACATCCACATCCATCTTAAAATGCAGACACAAAATTGAGCACAATACTCTTAATTGTGCCTGACTCTCAGTGAATACAGTGGATCAAACCATCCATTGGTTATTCCAGAGCTGGTGAACTGAAATCAGTCCGTTTCCCTCTGATCCACTGTGTCATCATCTGTAATACAATGACGAGAATAGTTCTGACATCAGAGGATTGTTATGATGCATAAAGCACGTCATAGGAGACTGGTACATACGAGGCACTCACAGAGAGCTGATCATTGTTTTTGTTAGCTGTGTCATACGTTAATTAATGTCTCGAGAGTAGGGTCTTTGAAGGGGAGAATCCTGCTGCTATTCCTTAAGATAATGTCTGTGTGTACATTGGGGTTGAAGCGGTGAAATATACAGACACACGTGTCATGAGCAGCATCACTGCTTTTATGGGGCCATTTGGAAAAAGATGAAAAGGTAACCTGGAAAGGAAGAGTGAGCTCTGTTTTCAGGAAGCCGGGAACTCAGAGGCAAGACTCCTAACTCATATGGTTTTTGTGGGGTTGTTTATGAGACCTCGAAATGTGAACCTTCCTTTCCTCACTCGGCCAAAGGAAAGATGCACGTGCTCCCATCTCCACTGGCATAGAACCCAGCAGACACCTGGGGTCATGTTTTAGCTGTAGCACAGTGGTTTGCAGTGTGCTGTCCATCAGTATGCAGTATCAGCACACAGTGTCACAGCCAGCAGTATCAGCATCACCTGGGCACTTTAGGAATGAAGATCTCAGGCTCCAACCCAGACTTCCTGAATCAGAAACTCTAGGGGTGGGGCCCAGTATTCTGTGTTTAATAGACTCTCCAGGTAACTTGATGTGCTCTCAAGGTTGAGAATCACTGCTGTGGAGTTAGCGTTAGGAGCTCAGCCGGGGAAGCTAGGCAGAGACCAGAGGGAGGTAGCAGGGAGAATCATCTTTTTTTTTTTTTTTTGAAGACAGGATCTTTCTCTGTACCTAGGTTGGAGTGCAGTAGTGCAATCATAGCTCACTGCAGCCCCGACCTCCAGGGCTCAAGCAATGTTCTCACCTTAGTCTCCTGAGTAGCTGGGACTAAGGAGTGTACCATCATGTCTGCCTAATGTTTTATTTTTAATTTTAAATGAATGGGATCTTTGCCGGGCATGATCACGCCTGTAATCCCGACACTTTGGAAAGTCGAGGTGGGCGAATCACCTGAGCTCAGGAGTTTGAGACCAGTCTGGCCAACATGGTAAAACCCTATCTGCTAAAAAATACAAAAATTAGCTAGGTGTGTGCCTGCAATCCCAGCTATTCATGAGGCTGAGGCAGGAGAATCGCTTGAACCCAGGAGGCAGAGGTTACAGTGAGCTGAGATGGCACCACTGCACTCCAGCCTGGGCATCAGAGTGAAACTCCGTCCCAAAAATAAATAAATAAAAAATAAATGAATGAATGAATGTGGTCTTGCCAGGCTAGTCTCAAACTCTGGGCTCAAGTGATCCTCCAACAACCTCAGCCTTCCAAAGTACTGGGATTACAGGTGTGAGCCACTGAGTCCAGTCAAGAGAATCATCTCTTTAAGTGGAAGACACTGGTCCTCCTTCCAGTCAGGGAGTGGGATCGTGGCTTCCAGAAGAGGTCACAGGCTCAGATGCCTACAGAGGCCAAGCAGAAAATATGAGTGAGGGAAGAGGGCTGGCGAGATAGAAGAGAAAGCGGTGGAGATCTGTGCAAGCAAGAAAGCACGTGAGCTACCTAAGAGGCTCTAGGGTACTTAGATACCTAAGTGATACTCACCTCCCAATGGCCTGCCTTGCAGGATGCAGCCTCTACAGGGCTCCATCTTCGTGGTTTTCAGGGGCTAGAACTCAGTGCTGTGGGATGCAGCAGGCCTATGAGTTGATTGACAGATCCTGTTGCAGTCAGTGTAGTAGGTAGGTCCTGTGTAGTAAGGGCTTGGTTAAAGGGTATATAAAGTTAAGATGGTTTGGCCGGGCGCGGTGGCTCAAGCCTGTAATCCCAGCACTTTGGGAGGCTGAGGCGGGTGGATCACGAGGTCAAGAGATCGAGACCATCCTGGTCAACATGGTGAAACCCCGTCTCTACTAAAAATACAAAACATTAGCTGGGCATGGTGGCACGTGCCTGTAATCCCAGCTACTCAGGAGGCTGAGGCAGGAGAATTGCTTGAACCCAGGAGGCGGAGGTTGCGGTGAGCCGAGATCGCGCCATTGCACTCCAGCCTGGGTAACAAAAGCGAAACTCCGTCTCAAAAAAAAAAAAAAAAAAAAAGATGGTTAGATAAAATTTCATGATTTGGGCCAGGTACAGTGACTCATGCCTATAATCCCGGCACTTTGGGAGGCTGAGGCAAGCAGATTACCTGAGGTCGGGAGTTTGAGACCAACCTGGCCAGCATAGTGAAACACTGTCTCTACTAAAAATACAAAAATTAGCCAGGCATGGTGGCACTGCCTGTAATCTCAGCAACTCAGAAGGCTGAGGCAGGAGAATTGATTGAACCCAGGAGGCAAGTTGCAGTGAGCTGAGATCGCATCACTGCACTTCAGCCTGGGCGACAGAGCAGGACTCCATCTCAAAAAAAAAAAAAAAAAAAAAAAAAAAAAAAAAGAAAAAAGAAAGAAACTCATGATTTCTTTTATATACCATAACAAATTTTTGAAAATTAAACATGGTCCGGGGCAAATAGAACACATCCACACCCATATATATCCCATGCATTGTTGATTTATAGCCTCAGGGGTAGTGATGATTTGATGTCAGGTTGCTATTTAGCCAGCTTCTGTTAGCACTGGTTATTTACAACCAGAGTCCCTTCTGACTGGTTAAATATTTTGAATAACCCTGCTAAGCAGTAATGAATAGAAAAGGTAGCTGTTATTATCATTGATAACATAAAAAAATTACAGTACTTAGTCATTATCAAAAAGGTCCCTCAACTCTTCTGTATTTGATATGATTTTCCACTGAACTGTGTCTTGAATTCCTTCATGTGGATTTAACAATGACTTTCAAAGGACAGTGACCAGGCTGGACTACGTACTTCACAACGTTCTGGTATCAGCTCTAAAGGAGCAGGCACTTCCATCAATCTCCTTAAACTGCATTAGAA